CATTTTAAAATAGTAATCAAAATTTGGGTTTTTTTTTTCAGCTTTAATTGAGTTTATTGGTACATTTTAGGGATACAGTACAGTTACATTCATTGTTGGGATCTTGTACCTCTACATGACAAGTCTTGATTCTCATTTTTAAAATATCAGCAGATTGTCTTTCTTTCTTTTCTTTATTTATGGGTCAATATGTCCTATATGTTTCTCAAAACTAAAACTTTCTATTAAGTCTGTGTTCCAGTAGTCTTAGAGAACCTTTTGAAAAATTCTACCTCTGATAGTTTTTTCCTCCTCTAACAGAAGAAACTGAGAACATGACCTGGATCCATGACCTCTACAATGCTCTGGTTTTCTTAAACTTTTTAAGTTACATTATTCAAATATAAAAGTTGGAAATTGATAATACAAGTGGAAAACACATTAGAACTCTCACAATACTCATAATTGAAAGCCAGCATCCACAATAATGCAGCCACAGCAAATAAGCTTATAAAAAGTGATTGGCATAGTAACAAGGCAAAAGAAGTGACCCTGAAGGTGGAGATAAGCAACCTTGCAAAGTTAGCTTCATGCAGACCAGCAAGAAAGAACCAAAGCTTTACCACTTATAGCTGGAAAATACTTAAAAGAAAACAAAATGCAACATTATACTAGTAACTAAAGCTTATATAAAAATACAAAATACCAATCCATTGTACAAAATGTATGAAACTTGCTGTATTTGTACATAAGTATATAGTATACAAAAAAGTTATTATAAAAACAATGCATGTATTAATTAAAAGCACATATTTTTATGAGCCAAAGATTTATGTAAAATTTCAAGAAAAACATAACTTTTTGCTTAATGATGTTTTAGTTTTAAACAAAATCTCAATATTTTCATAAAGTAAACTTAAGTTCTAAGCTTGATAATATTCTATATTTTCTATTTTATAAATGTATTTTTGAAAAGAGTAAAATTCCACAATAAAACAAATACATTTGTGACATTCTACATTTGATCTTAGCTAAAAGGCTGGAAGCGATTTTTTTGTGACATTTTAAAGTATAAATAATACTAAAGCTACAAATATAAAAATGAACAAGTACATATAAGTGCAAAAAGCTTTTCTGCCTATGCATCATTATTTTATATAACTTTATGAATCTGTATAGTATTTTCCACAAAACAGTGAATTAGTAATTAGAATATCATTATGTTTTTTATATGTGTTTTCTTTAATTATCACCTCTGGGGTAAAAGAGATAATAATTCACCCACAGAAAACTTTTTAGGAAATCGGCAGGTGATTATACATGACAATTTTACCCCTAGAGAAGACAAGTTATTACCATAAAGTTGAATATATAGCCAAAACATTTTTTTTGGGGGGGTAATGGGGATTGAACTTGGGACCCTGCATTTGCAAGGCAGGCAGTGGAACCACTGAGCTAAATCCCTGGCCCCAAAACATTTTTATATTAATATTTGTCTTCAAGGTTTCTGACTTTTCACTTTTCTTCTTCTTTGACCAAGAATTATTTTATACCACCCAATAGCTTGGGATGCTAGAATAGTTCAAATAAAGAGAATGTATGAGGGAAGGAGGAAACAAGCCCAAGAAGAGAGTGGTGCTGACGATTAATGGAATGATGTAAAGAGGACAAAGGTGGAGGTGCTTTTATCAAACGCAACAACACACCTTTGGAAGCAAGGTATAAAACTTTTGTCACCTGTACAGACAATATAAAAGCAAGTCTTATACCCAAGTTTGATCAATCTTCTTAATGTTTGAAACTCCTCTTACTGTTGGGTTAACATTGTGTTTTTTGTTTTGTATCAGCTGAGTATACTGGTGAGAAAAAAAACCCAGGAACAAGAAACTCTCAAGTACTAAATTAATGTGAAAATTTTTTTGTTTGCTTTTACTGGTGATTGAACCCAGGGCCTTCACCCTGAGCTACATCCTTGGCCCTTCTTAAAATTCTTTATTTTGGAGCCAGGGATCTAACTCAGTGGTTCTGCCACCTACCTTACAAGCGCAAAGTCCCGAGTTTGATCCCTGGTAACCCCCCCGCCAAAAAATCTTTATTTTGAGACCAGGGTCCTATTAAGTTGTTAAATTGCCCAGACTGGCCTCAAACTCATGATCCTCCTGCTTCAGCTTCTAAATCTAAAGGTAAAAACCTACCACTCACCACTTCAGAAATGAGAGTTCACGTTTTATCTTTAATTTTATTTGTAAGGTTTTATGAATACATATTCTATACTTTTTATGAGTATTATAATGAGTATGATAATGGTATTCTTAATTATACAGTTCACGATGTCCATTCCAAAAGACATAAAATTTGGTACGAAAATATGTTTTGGCATATATTCAGCAGAATAGATGAGGTATATAAATCTCTAGATAATTTTCCAAAGTGCTTTAAAATTTACAGTTTTAAACCTTAGAAAACATAGAAATGACATCTCTGGATAATTTTTATATATCTTTGTACTAAATCATGGATGTGACAATTTTCTGTAGGTCAACTGAGACTCTCAAGCTGGATCACCATGGATTGAACCCGCACTTGCCACTTATAAGATGTATAACCAGATACTAACTAAAGCTTTGATTTCTAATTTTTAAGACATGCTAATAATTGTACCTCCATCATAAATTTGTTCTGAGGGTTAAGACTGCATGTAAATACAGTGTAATGTGAATTTCTGTAATACAAATTATTATTATGTGCAATGGTAATGAGGCAGATTTATCACTGTATTACAGAAGCTGGATTCAAGTGTATTTTTGGATAGCCTGTTAATGTTTTTGGGTGGTACTGGGAATAAAACCCAGGGCCTCACACATACCTGCCATACACTCTACCACTATGTTATACCTTCAGCCCTAGACTACTGATTTTTGAGTCTCTAAGTGGTAATAGCTTAATAAAAAGTAATGAAGCCAGCTAAATAATAGAGCCAAAGAAGACTACAAAGGAATTAAAAATAATCAGGTATATTCAAATTTTATTACTCAATAAATGACTTATAAACAAATACACCAGTCAATAACCTCATGTTTGTATCATTTCTTTATAGTCTTGAAGACAAGAAGGAACACATCACAGTTGCCATTCAACCACTGATGCTACAAGGATCTAAGTGTGCATGCTCTGCATCTAACAGTCCAAGTACAGGACTCCTGTAAACTGAAACCCACAAGAGATGTGTACTCAGTTTTTATAGATTCACAGAAATAAGTAATTATTCATTTAAAATTGGTTCAATTACATACTTATATCCTAGTTAAGAAGCAATAATTTTTTTGAAATGTTCAATTCTTTTTCAATCACCCTATAGTGTACAGTATAAAAAAGCCATCTACTCCTATATAGCTTCTTTTTTGCTTATTTGTGGGCAGTTTGTCTTGGAACTTTGTACTGCATAATTCTCTCTGATCTGTTTATACCTGTTTATATCTCCTTAATTCACAACTTCAACCCTCCTTTCAATCATCACCTTAAACTGCTTTTTTTTGAGTCTGACCTGCAACTCACTACGTAGCCCAGGCTTGTCTCGAACTCACAGCGATCCTCTTGCCTCAGCCTCCTGAGTGCTGGGATTACAGGTGTGCACCACCACACCCAGCTTACCTTAAGCTTCTTTTTTTAAAAAAGTACTGTATTTGCTGGAATATTTGTTTTATTCACTAAGGACCTATTTTTAGTTGTTCTAGTATTTTTACAGAATCATTATTGTTTTATTAAAGCTCTAGTAAGAAAGCTGCTTGGGTTTTAAGTTTAAATTTCAGAATGATTTCTTTCCACCAAATTCTATCATTTTCAATGTAAAATATGGCAGAATAGAGGGCTTTCAAGGAATGGCTATGTTGTGCTCTACATAAATAATCATTTATTTAACATACTACCTGTTATAAAATAACTCAAATTGTTGTTAAAAATAATAATTGAAAAAAAGCATTACTTCCATGTAGAAAGACTTGTCACATTCACGGGCTAGTATCCATCCAATTATAAAAAACAAAAATTAAAATCTACATGTGTTTTGTTTTATATATATATATTTATTTATTTTCATTCTAGGCTGGCCTTGAACTCACTATGTAGGTCTTGAACTTGTGGCAATCCTCCTGCCTCAGCCTCCTTAGTGCTGGGATTACAGGCATGTAGCCACACCCAGGTCTGCATGTATTTAAAAAAATTTCCAAAATTCATTTTCTCTGCTTGAGTTTAGTTTTAACTCTAAAACTTTATTTTCAAAACATAATTTAAATACAGCAATACCAATCAAGTCTTAAAGAATGATGGTTTTTGGCAATTTATTACCTCAAATTTTCATCTCTAATGAGTACTATTATAAATATGAATTAATCTGAAATTACTGTGATTATTATATTTTCCATAATATAGAAATAAATCGTCTCAAATTTTCTACCAGATGATACAGAAATAAAGTAAGATTTTATCTAAATCCTCAAAATACATTCCTATTTGAGAAAGAAAAGCTACAAAAATCCAACTCTGATATAGTCTCAGTACACTATAGGTTTGACCGATGAATTGCTTATTTTTATTATGATGTTCTTTAGAGTATATAATTATAAGCTTTTAGATATATTTTTAGGGGTTCTGGGGATCAAACCCAGGCCTCAACACAAGCATTCTTGCACTGAGCTACACCTTCTGCTCTAGATATTTTAAAATAAAATGGGATATAGTGTTGTGGTTACTATTACTACTTCTAGTTTTTATAAGTAAAAACTAAATCCCTTTTTTAACAAAAGAGACCAAGGGTATTTTAAAATTCTGTAAAGACCAAAGTTTCATACACTTATATCTACTGATAAAATTGGATATTTTTACAGGGATAACTTTAAATTTTAATATGGTATGATTATCTTATTACAACAGTTTAATACAATTGTTCAACTAGAAATAAATATCCGTAATTTTCATTTGCTGTTAATTAACTGACACCTCAAAGTGTTAAGAAAGATACTCACTGGCTGAAGCCTGAGATTGTATACGAGGTATTCCTCCATTTGGCACTTGAAAATTTGAATCACTTCTGCTGCTTTTCACTGAGTCAACTTGTGTATTAGATGTTCGAGACAGGTTTGGAAGACTGCGCCTTAGTTTCTCTACAATAATAAGAATTTTAATTTTTAAAAATCTAACCACTGTTTCACGTAGAGAAAGAATTACAGCATCAATTAGAACTCAAAAATGAAATTAAACATTCTACATATTATAAAAGAGAAAAACAAAGTATTAAAAAAAAATCAACCCAAAGTTTATTATAGAATAAGAGAAAAACCTTAAAAGATAACTATAAACTATATATTTAAATCTAAATCTAAGTAAAGGTTGCTCCATGAGTAAATTAATGCAAAAGTAACCTAAATTAATTTCCTCTTTTATTTTTGCATTGATAAAGTATTAATAAAATGGTAAACTTGAATATTTACTTATCTGAAATAAAAAGTCTTAGCAAAACTGTGTTCCTTCCACACAAAATATGAAGGCTTTTTCCAAAAATATTCTCACTACAAAATCTGCCAGGGCTGGGGAGGGGGTAGCTCAATGGGTACAGCACTTGCCTAGCATGCACAAAGTTCTAGGTTCACTCCCCAGTGTCATCCCCCAACAAAAAACAAACAAACAAACCAAATCTGCCATGTCTTACCTTCGTTTTTAATATTGCTCGTCTGTAAATCTGTGGGATGACCTTGAAGTGAAAGGCGAGGTTGCTGTAAGCGGCTAATCATAGGCTGTGGAGACACTCTACTATATTCTATTCCCCGAGCTGGAGATCGTGAACGAGGTGAATTTCTAGGTGATTGCTTAGGTGATGGTCGAGGTGAATTTCGTGGTGATGGTGAAAACCTGTTAACAGCAGGGTATACCGCATGATGCATAGTGTCGTCTTCATCATCTAAGCTTTGTGCATCAAGTTCCTGGTCACTAAATGTACCCCGTCTTGTAGAATTGCAAGATGAACCAGAACTGCGCCGAGATGTGGTGGCTGCATATTCTTGCCGAAGACCTGGCAACAGTTAGTGTGTTATTTTATTTCTTTATATTTTCAAATACATATATATTTTTAAAATTTAAAAGAAAAGATTATCATTGAGAAATTCAAGTAGGGTATATATAAAGTGTAAAGGAAAACTCTGCTTCTACTTTTAAATGTTTTCCCATAAAAGGATGTATAAATCAGATCTGAAGGTTATTTTAAAAGTGAAAATATATAAACTTTTGTACAGTTTCAATATTTTCTTGAATCTAAAATCTAAATTACAAAGTACAATCAAAATATAGAAGCATTTCAACTCCTAAAGACAGCAATTCAGATTTGAGCCTAACATTAATGGAACAGAATATACCACTAAGCAAATAAACTCTTTAGAAACTTAATCCTTGGATTAAAACCCTAACACCACCACCAAAAATCATTTAAAAAAGGAAAAAAAACCCAAAACCCAGAAACTGTGTAATACTTTGAGCACATTCTACTAACTACTGACAATCCAGGAAAAAGGATTTTACAGAGAGATATTCAAACCTTTAAGTCATATATTTACACACAGAAAGTGCTATCAACAAGGTTCCACAAACTAGTATATTAAAATCACCATGGCTATCTTTAAAACTATTGATTTCTTGGGGTATAGTACACTAGTACAGTACATGTGTGGCATGAATGTGGGCTCGGGTTCAATCCCAGCACTGTAAAAAAACCAAGGCAACACAAAACAAAAACCACTAATAATTCCTGGGTCTACTTACCCTTCAGTCAGGTTTGGGAACCACAATACTGAGTTACTTAGTGTCTAGTTACAGCCAATATGGCACTTATGTCGTTTAACAAAAGACAACAAGCCTGTAAAACATCACTGTTTCAGAAAAGAAAATTCAGATCCCAATGTAGCCTCTTCACAAATAAAAAGACCCTAAGAAGCAAATTACAATCCCTACGGGCTTTGCATTTATTTTTTAAATGAGGGAACATGAATACGCAAAGAGCCTAAATATGGAATTCTACATTTCTAATTTCTGCAGAAGTCCTGAAAGAGTTTGTTATAAAAAAAAAAAAAAAGAAGAAGAAAATCAAAAAAGGGGGTACATGCCGGGGATTTAGCTCAGTGGTTCGGTGGCCTGCCTTGCAAGTGCAAGGACCCGAGTTCAATCCCCGGTACCAAAAAAGGAAAAAAGGGGGGGTACATGTCATTTTGGTGTCATCTTTCTTTTAATTCACCAAGAAATACATATTTATGCATGTGTATGGCTTAGGAAGGACTACTAAACAATAATGAGGCAAAAATTCCTATTATATACCAAACACAAGATGAAAATTAAAGCAAATAGTTGTTTGAGCTTTATCAAAATCCTGGGCTCTAAAAATTCAAAATTTAAAGAAGAAATAAGTGAATTTATTCTATGGCAAATACTTAAACAACAATCTTTTTTACCCCCTCTTTTTTTTTTTATCCCCTCCTTTTCATATCCATGAATAACCAACCGACTAGCTGAAAATATCACAGAATAAATGAAGATACATAAAATTACAGAAGAGAGACCATGTCAACAATTTTCAAGTATAACAAGAAATAAAGAAATTAAACCCTTCTATCTGTCTAGGGGAAGCTGCCTTTAAATGGGAAATGAATCAGCAGAGAAAGAAACATGCTGCAGCTTTTTAAATGTTACAGCTTGATAAAGCCTACTATATAAAGGATCTATTATACACACAGACAATGGAAAGTTTTTTAACCAAATTTTAACAATGCTCCATTACTCTTAGCCAATTGTCAAGACTCTAAAATGTGTATTTCAAGAATTTTTTCACTGAAAAGGTTAAAGGATCATTTTAGAAACATTTTTTACTTCACAGTATAGGGTATGGCATTTATAAAACGCATAGGCAAGAAAATCACCATCACCAGTTTACATTCAAATGAGGCCAGGGCTTTCATGAATCCCCAAGAAGAATGAAAAATTTTGCACCTATGTATATTCTAGGAATGACAGAAGAAATCATTTTTATTGGATTCTTATAGATGACTGTGTCCTAAAAAGTTTCAAGACCCATGCCGCAAAGCATCATCACATGTTTTAATTTAATGTCACAATTCCAATTTTCTCATGAGTCTTTTTTATATTTGTATACATGCGAGAAGTGAGGTTTGTTACCAAGAAGGCAAAAGTTGGTTATTGAGGTACAAAAAAACTCTTAAGATATATTAACTGATAGTACTTAGAGAGTTTAACTGTGATATTAAAATTTCATGGGGGAGGGATATATGAATAGGAAAAACAGAAAGGCTCTTTAGGAAAGCAATAAAAAAAGAGGTTAAGAAACACTGATTTACACTAAAGATACAGAGTAATAACTACACTTGTGCATGCCAATACAAAGTTACACACAGGGTCTGGATGTAGCCACAGAAGCTAAGGATAATGTCGTTTCTTTGCCTTTCTTACAGCAAAACTGCCCTATGTGAAATGGACTCTGAAAACAAATAAATGAACAAACAAGCACCTATGTTGAATAAGCCTCTGAACTGCTCATTTCAACATATCTTCTTTCACTACATTACTATTCCCACAACACTTTATGACATACTTAATATGTACACCAAATATACACAGTAGTGAAAAATGTCAACCTCTAATAATTGAAATACTCACTTTCTTCTTGCATCCGGGCCAGAATCTGTACATCGGTTACATCATTTAGCTTATAATTGGATCCAATTGAATCTTCATCTAATTCTGAAGCACTTAACTCACTGTCTATAGAGGACTGAGGACTGAGTGGAGGGTTTCTGTCTGATGAACTTCTGAAGTTACCTAACAAAAGAAAAAAATTCACTTTGGTAGGATAAAAGTTGAGTAAACATCTGTTACAATTAACTAGATAGCATATCCTTTGATTTAGTACATTAGTATTCTGCCATATGTTTATAAAATCAGCAAACACTGAAAATGGAACTTGACCTAGTTAGGAAAAAAGAGGGCTACAGAAACTCCTTTATATACAGTGACATAAAGACATAACACCTTTTCAAAATTGAAGTATAATTTACCTAGGCTCTGTACAACAATCAAACTTTTAACACAGTGCCTAGAAAGGAGTCAGTACTCAAGTGTTAGAGGATTTCAACTTTTAGAAGACAGTCCATGAAATTATGAATCTAAGTAGATGAATTTATGATGTAGTGTTTTTTTCCTCAAATCCAGTCAAGAGCAAGCACCATCATCTTTTCCCTGAATACTAGTTTTCCTAAACAAAACTAATTTGAGAAAAATTAGATTCCTTAGACACTGAAGAACAAAACAAAACAAAACAAAAAGAATACTAGGCTAATTTTTCCTACATATTACATTTACAAAATTCTTTTGCCAAATTAGTAATGGAGATCCAAGGAGTTCTAGCTTTTAGCAGTGAAGCACTAAAGATAGGTAACCCAGAAGATAGGTGTGGTGGAGCACGCCTGCAATTCCAGTTCCTCTGGAGGCTGAACCAGGAGGATCACAGGATCGAGGCTAGCCTGGGAAATTTAACAAGACCTTGTCTCAAAATAAAATTTATTTTAAAAGGCTGGTAGTGTAGCTCAGTGGTAGAGTGCTTGCTTAGCATGAAAAACAAAGTAAAGAAAATGACCAGGTTTTGAAAAGTACTTTATCATTTTAAACAAACAGGCAAACAAAACAAGTTAGAATAATAATAATGCACATGTCTAAAAGTGTCTAACTTGTTTCTAGAGAAATAATCATAAAATCTGAACACTGCTGCTAATATTTCTAACATAGATTTATCTAAAACTTGTCTTCCAGAATTTTTTACTATAATCACCTCCAATATGAAAAACATAAAAGGAGAACAAAAACACAAAATAATTAACAATTATACTATCAATGAAAGAAGAGCAAGTGATAGAAAATGTACCCCAAGAATTTGAATACCCGAATCAAATTCTTTATTTTAAACAAATATTGCATATCAATCTCTTTAACATGATACTATTCTAGGAAAAATAAGTAAACTGTTTGTATGATTGAAAACACTGAAAGGGTTACTATCACTACTCTGTCCAGTTAAAAGTTTCATAAATAAAACGAACCTGAACTACTAGTAACTTATTTTTTGAAGTAGGGAAGTAAATTAAACACCATTTCTTAGTAACTCCATTTTTTTCTCCTTACCTGAATTTCCAGGAAGTATAAGCTGTTTGACTATAGGAGGTCGCACTGGGGTTGAGGACGGAGAATTGAAGCCACTGCTGTACGGGCTACTGGCATTTGGACTGTAAGGACTTGTGTAACTCATAGAGTTGAAAGGATTATTATACAAATTCTGCCTCTTGAGAGCTGCATTAATAAGGAGGCGGAAATCAAATTTAATAATTAAAAAAAGTTAACATTTTATTTCGGAAGTTTTTCTATTAAAATTTTATTGTCATTATCTCAGTTTAAATAAATATTTCATACTACTAAGGAAAATATATCACATTGATAATCCCAACAAAATGTTTTCATTCTCTTAAACTGTGTTATGCAAATAAAGCAGCAGTCACACCCAACAACAAAATAATAATATGGGAAGGCTATGGGAAGAATATATCCTAACAGAATAATTGCCACTAAATTAATTCACTTTCACCTTGTTGGAAAGTTTATTCTTTAATAACTATTCTATCAATTGTGACTGAACTTTAAGTTTAAATAAAATATAAAACATTTTCTTAATTTTCTATAAGTTAGAAATAACAAGCCTTAAAAAGCTTTTCTAAAATTTGGATTTTTGAAAAAATGAAAAAATGGTAATTCCCTTTTTAAAAAGACCCCAACATATATATATAT